CTTGTGCACCCTCTCCCCCACCTCTGTCAGCTCAGAGACCTGGCAGGCAGAGGGGGAGAGCCTAAACAGAAAGAACTGGACTCTCCCACTGCCCAAACCAGAAAGGCTTGGAAGACGGTACCCATGGACAGTAGAGGAGATGACATGCCTACACCAGTCAGAGTAAATCCCACACCCTAGGGCTGATCTGACTCCTAGGAATTAAACATGTTAGATTCTATCCACAGCAAAAGCTGTTTTCAAATAAGGGAAAAAAACATTTTGACACTGAAGTAGCTAGTAATGGGCTAAAGATGAGATAAAGGCAACATCATGAGGACATGGCAGTTAAAGAGTTTACTGAGGCACTTTTGTGACATGTTTAGGTCCAAGGGAGGAAAGACCTTGAATGGAAGCTCATTCCACTGGGAAGCAATAAATTTAACTGGACTAAAGGTAGATTCCCACTTGTACTTTATTACAGAACAATCACACCCTGACAACACTCACATTTTCCTTTGGTCCCATGATATTGGCCTCATTTTGTCCCACCCATGTGTGAGATGGTTGTCATTATTCTCTCTCTTATTCCACTTTTCAATGACAGACCCATAGTATTTATTATCTTGTTTTGCTTTTCCATCGATTACACTGGGGATGAGGTCAGCTAACCATAATGGGTGTGATCAGAGATGTGTTTCGAGAGTGTATGGATGTAGGGATAAACCCTCTGCTCTCTAACCAGCTTTTGGCTCAAACATTTCCTCCTAGCATTTGCCCTCTGCATTAATACCCATCACTTCATCAGTTCCCTGTTTTTGATACTAAGTTGTTTCCAGGCTTCCAACAAGGTAGAGGAAGGATGAGCAGATACTGCTTCATTTAGGGATGAAGTAACTGCATGTTTATATTTCTTTGCCATGGTATGCTTGTCATTTTATTCATGCATTCATGCCTTCATTCCTCCACCCCACCAGTGTCAGTTTACCAGGTCTACACTCACGAATGAGGACAATACCATTGGGCAGTAACTCAGGGCATTTTCCTATTTGTATCTAGTTAGAGCAGAAACATACCCTGGAAACCTCTTCTTTTCTTCCTTGGAAATTAAACAGGGTCCTATCAGGTTAGTTATTGGATGAGAGATTACCAATCTAGGAAGTTTAAAGAAAACAGTTTTCTGCAGTTGCCAAGAAAACTGACAGATGTATCCATGAAGTCACCAGGAATCAAGTACAGTTCAATGGAGACTTTTTACTGTTTCATTGCTATGGACTCCAGAGCTCAGCTGCCAGATGAGCTGTCATTACTTGTGTAACTGGGTCAATTCCCCAGGTAAACTGAAATGCCTGACTCCAAGAGCCAGATGCCTGCACCATCAGAGGAGGGGCAGATGATCAAGTTAGGAACAGCAATTTCAGATGCTCTTCACCCCTCCTGACATACCCTTCCTCAGCCACTTGCTGGTTCCAGATGCTGACATTGCCTTGTAGATGCTGTATTTCTTGCTCTGTGTCCTTTTCCTTGCACCCACTGTATATTATCTCTTTCCTGATGTGAGCTGCCATTGCCAACCCAGTTTAAAGCTATGTCCATTGGCTCTTCCTCAAAGCTGAGAGTATCCACCAGTGTAAAATGTGCTGCCTTCATAGGTGATTCCCATCCTAGTGTAGTCCTGATTTATTATGAACAAGACATCTTAAGGATAGGGACTGCTTTGCCTTCCTCTCCTCCCAAAAAACCACACTAGTTGGTGGTAAAACATCCACCAATTACTCTCCTTAACAAGGGTTGGGATGAGGTGAGTTTTGACAGATGGCTAGAGCTGTGGGTTTAGCCATCTGTCAAAATTCACTTTCATTTGTGCAAGTGTTTTATGCAGATGCATTCAAGGGGAGCCCATCTAATAGCTGATATCAGCTAGTCGGTCTCCTTTTAGACATGGTTTTAGTGCTCCTACAGAACACTACTAAACCTGTGTTCAAAAGTAGCCTGAAAAACAGATGTAAGGAGGATTGAGCTATGAAACCACAAGCCTGCTGTCCCCTGCTTCCTTATATAGCCTTATATAGCTATTGCTGATGAGCTAATGTTTTGGGTCTCCAGACTAGGGATTGGCTCAGATCTGACAGGTGGGAGGGAGAGCCTATTGTGAAAGAACCAGTATCTCCTCCTGCCCAAGCCATGATGCCCCTGCAGGACAATGCCAGGCACTGGAGAACAGGGTTTGCCTTCATCCTCTTAAAGTTTCCTGTAGGAGCTCAGCTGAGCAAAACCCCTAGGAGTCACCTAACTACATCCACAATAGAATAGTTGGCAAGGCATGTCAGTTTGTATCCATGGTAACATTTCTTTCAGAATAAGAAGGAAAACACTACTTTAAAACTGGGACAGATAAGGATGACACAGAACAACAACAAAAGGTTGCTGAGACATAATTGTGCCATGTTATTATGTACACGTGTGGAAAGCCTTGCCTCTAGCGGAACACCTTTCCTCTCTTTCGCGACCATACTGACCAGCAAGTAGTTATCCCCGACATTTTATATCTCCTTTCCCTCACACCCGCTCTTCGGAGCCTGAGGCTTGCTCTTCGCCAAAGACCCGCTAAGGGTGTGCAGGAAGGAGTGGCACGCCACGAGGACGCCGCCTTGCTTGCAGCTCCCGGCTTCGGTTTGAGGCTCCGCCAGCGCCTCACGTGAAGCACCGAGCTGCGCGGTCCGCCGCCGCCGCCGCCTCTCCCCCAGGCTCGC